TTTCAACTCCCTCCACAAATTTTCTATGGGGTTGAGGTCTGGAGACTGGCTAGGCCACTCCAGGACCTTGAAATGCTTTTTACGGAGCCACTCCTTCATTGCCCGAGCGGTGTGCTTGGCATCATTGTCCCAGCCACATTGCATCTTCAATGCTCTCACTGATGGAAGGAGGCTTTGGCTTAAATTCTCACGATACATGGCCCCGTTCATTCTTCCCTTAACACTGATCAGTCGTCCTGTCCCCTCTGCAGAAAAACAGCCCCAAAGCATGATGTTTCCACCCCCATGCTTCACAGTAGGTATGGTGTTCTTGGGATGCAACTCAGCATTCTTCTTCCTCCAAACATGATGAGGTGAGTTTTTACCAAAAAGTTCTATTTTGGTTTTATCTGACCACAGGATATTCTCCCAGTCCTCTTCTGGATCATCCATATGCTCTCTGGCAAACTTCAGACGGGCCTGGACATGTACTGGCTTAAGCAGGGGGACACGCCTGGCACTGCAGTCCCTCTCGGCGTAGTGTGCTACTGATGGTAGCCTTTGTTACTTTGGTCCCAGCTCTCTGCAGGTCATTCATCAGGTTCCTCCATGTAGTTCTGGGATTTTTGCTCACCATTCTCATGATCATTTTGACCCCACAGGATGAGATCTTGCGTGGAGCCCCAGATCGAGGGAGATTATCAATGGTCTTGTATGTCTTCCATTTTCGTACAGTTGCTCCCACAGTTGATTTATTCACACCAACCTGCTTTCCTATAGTAGATTCACTCTTCCCAGCCTAGTGCAGGTCTACAATTTTCTTCCTGGTGTCCTTTGACAGCTCTTTGGTCTTGGCCATGGTTGAGTTTGAAGTCTGACTGTTTGAGGCTGTGGACAGGTGTCTTTTATACAGATAACAAGTTCAAACAGGTGCCATTAATACAGGTAACAAGTGGAGGACAGAAGAGCTTCTTAAAGAAGAAGCTACAGGTCTGTGAGAGCTAGAAATCTTGCTTGTTTTTGGGTGACCAAATACTTATTTTCCACCATAATTTACAAATAAATTCTTTAAAAATCTCACAATGTGATTTCCTGGATTTTTTTTCTCGTTTCGTCTCTCACAGCTAAAGTGTGCCTATGATGAAAATTACAGACCTCTCTCATCTTTCTACGTAGGAGAACCTTCACAAATCAGTGGCTGACTAAATATTTTTTTGCCCCACTGTAACTGCAGCTCACTCACACCCTTAGAAGGGCTCTGGCTCCAGCTTGGCTTACCTGTTTAATATATTCCATGTGGTCAGCCCAGCTAGCAGCGGGGACTTCAACCAGAAACCCCTCTGCATTAGACATGGACAAAGCCCGGTCCCTGGACTCAGACAGGAGATGGTCATGCTATGCAGCCATGGTCTTCCCCAACACTTTTTCTGGAAACGTGACCCATCTCAGCTGGGTTAAACCCTGAAGCTGCCAACAGTACTCACATGCCTCGGGCTCCGTCAGCACTCTCCTGGCATGGACAATCTCCATTTATAATATCTTCCATACTATATGTGTAGTACCGAGCGAACTGACTGAAAGGGAACTTTCAGGAGCATAATGCCTTTTTGGAGGAAGTGACAAAATATACTAACACCCAGAATCTCATCAACTGGAATTTTTTGATGCAGCTGTTTCTGTAGGGCCACGATAGAGAATGTGCATACCTGACAAACACACTGACCTGTACAAGTCCTGCAAGAGGAATGGCACGGACTGCACGTCATGTCTTCCAGATGGAAAAAAGTTCCATTGGTGCATTCAGGAACACAAGTCATCCCTGCCAGACTGAAAAACCCAACTACATTACAATACCTTGTTTTAAGCCAGAGTTTAAACAGAAATGATAGTCTGACTACTTTTACATACCTGTAGGCTTCTCTGCAAGCAGTGCATCTGTCTGCAAACCTCAGACATGTCATACAGGTGTCATGACACTTTAGACACTGTTTCTGATCTGGTGTAGATAGCATGCACAGGCATCAAGAAGAAGGTGAAAATAACATTAGGTTATTTTACAAGTTC